AAGTCCCAGAATCAAGAGTATCTGACAGTTGTCACCATAATCATGTTACATGCCAAAATAACTTCAGAGCTGGTGAATTATAATAATTTACTCATCTCTGTTTTACTAGCTGGAGATTAGTTATTCTGACCTGTGTATATATGTGCTTACTTCCAAACTCAGGGTGGGTTCTCTCTAACTTTGTCTCATTTTATTGAATCAGTGAATTACCTGCCATTTTTCCTTGTGGTGACAATAATTCAAGATGACAGGCCAACCTGTGTTGAATGCATTTCCAACCTCTACAACATCATATCTTTTATCATTCCATTGCCAAAAAAGTCATAAGACAACACAGAATAGTACATAAAATATGTCATTTCTGATTAAAGGAGCTAGAAAGCATTATACCTAAGGTCCTAGACACAGAATGGGGGACTATTATTTTAATTTATTCCAGGGCAATAGTGAAGCTCAGATCTTATAATAGTGCTCTGCCTGCCTACCACTGAGGGAGAGGAGCGGTTCACTTTCAGTCTCCTATGGAAGCAGGCGACAAGACAATACAGCACTGTCTTCTACCAAGTAAAGGAGCCAAATGCTGAACAGCAACCCACAAGTGTGTATCAAAGTGGCTCAGTCATTATGCTTCTAGTTCCCTTTAGTGAGTTTGGGTGGAAAGTAAATAAACTGATATACTTAAAATGTAAATTAAATAAGAAAAGACATTTGAAAATTTGGGCTATAGAGTAGAAAAAGGGGAGTAAAATACCATTTTTTTTTCTAGAATTATGAGATGTTCAGACTTATAAGACACTTTCCCTAGCTCTATGAAGAACTTTTCATTAATATGCTATTGTCATGCACTACTACCCCAGATTTACTAAAAACAAATGTATATGAACTGAATAAAAAGGAGCATTCTTATTATGAATCTATACAGTTCTTTGCATGTGTACAAGAAGCAGCAAATAAACTCTATCAAAACATGTGGAAATTTCCTGCCAGTTTTCACTTTTGTTCTTGTAAGAATTTTGACAGTCATATTGATTCCTCCTCTGTAAGAACAAAAGCTAAAGTATTTTGGAATATTTGTTTAACCATAGAAAATGTGTTGCATTTGTTTAACTTTGTAATTTGTGTTGCATTTGTTTATGTAGTGTTATATTTGTTTAACTAAGTACAGATGGGTTGCATTTGTTTACTTTGTGCAACAATTGTCTAACTATGTAAAAATATGTTGCATTTGTTTAATTTGTAAAAATATGTTGCTGTTTTACCTTGCCTGTCTAAGGCACCTGATTGGTCTAATAGCCTGAACAGCCAATGGTGAGGGAGGAGGTGTAGGCTGGACTTCTGGTCAGGGAAAGTAAATAGTAAGAGGAATTTAGGCTCAGGGGAAGAAAAAAAAGAAATGCCATGTGTAGCTAGAGTTTTCAGGCCTTGCCCACAGTCAGGACAAATCTTTGTCACCCACCAGTCCCACAGCCGCTCAGACCCA